TTTCTGGGTGATACTATGTATATCCTATTTTTCCTCACAGAAGTCACAGGAGTCTGTGTTCAGGAGTAGGGTGGAGTTTGGTTGTTTGTCTTGGCAAGTCGCAGATAATCCTGTGCACATGGATGCAAGTGTGTGTCACAGTTCATCCTCTCCTTTTAAAGAGGATGTAAGCAAGTAGTGAGAGGTAACAGAAATGTATCAGCTAGTAAAATTTCTATTCAGCAAATATGAATAAAGTTTTGGAAGCAGATGAGGGAGCTTTCCTCTTATACAGTTTTCTCAGTTCCTCCATAGAAAACTCAAGCACCACTCTTCTTTTTCCCCCATGAATCCTCTTACTGTTCCCTATCTGCATATCCTTTCTTCTCCTTTAACATCTGACTTCTATAACATAAAAATAATAGGTCTCATGCCAATGGAAGGAGGTGCAGGTTGTTGTTGAACTTAACCTTCCCAGGAAGAGAGAAAGTGCCCAGGTAGGTGAGGTGTCCTGGCTGCTACACCCATCGTGCCGTGTCTGTAAGGACAAAAGAGCTGGCAGCACTACCAGTAATGCTGGGAGAGAAATAAGAGTTCAGGAGCTCCCATACAACCCATAACCATTTATAAGTGCTGATAGTTCTGCGGCAATCAAAATAATTAAATCCAATATTTTTTTCTGCTACATACTGAAGGTTATGCTACATGCTTGAAGCTGTGCTCTTTGTTGGTGTATTTGTTTTCATCGTATTTTTTTGGAACCTCAAACTATTGTTCATTTTAAACAGATTCTGTTTAAATTGATCCTGTAGAGGCTAAGTTAAACAATGACAACTGTATTGGAAATTCCTTTTGATCTAGCTGTTGACATGAATGACTAGTGACAATTTCCTTTTCCTAAATACGCGACTTATATTAAATGAACTTTACTACTAATGTGCTGCTGTATTGCTGGAGAAATTTGAGTTTATTTGTTTATTTTCTGACTCTGCAACATAGCTTCTGCAAGGATCATGCTGCACAAGATTCTAGGTTAGCTGCATGTATGTTGGAATAGTGTGCATGTAGTATTAAATGGTTTAATTCTGTTCCTGATTTATATTCACATTGTCCGTAGGGTTAACTAGATAGTACATTTAGAAATGGATGAAACTCATGTCAAAATACAGAGATATGTGTGGTGAATTCAAATAAATTAGGGGAGGCATCATATACAGAGCATTATCTTTAGGCTCTTAAAGGCCTGTTTTAGCACAAGGATTCCTACAGTTTGTTTAAGTGGCTGTGGATTACATTTATACACAGGAGAGATTAAGAACGAGTGATATTATTTATTCCTGTTTGGATGTTAAGACTAAAATGCATAATAGATTTTTGCTCTAAATTAAGTGCATAGGGAACGATGAACATATTATTAACATATTTCTGTATATTTATATCAAAATTTCCCACTAACTATATGGGAAATGTCCCTCTAGAACATATGGGAACTTGATGATAGCAGTAAGAATTAAATTTTTAGGGGGTGGCGAAGTAAAATTATTTTGAGGATGTATTAGCATTTCAAATAAAAAAGGGGCCCAAATACTGTGTTTATCCATGGATGTGGAATAACTTGCTGGCCCTGCTGTTTTGCTTCTTAAGTATTCTATTAATTGATGAAGAAAATTGGTTCAATTTAGTCATACTCTGAGATATAAGTGAGCCTGCAGCTTGAAAAAAATGACTTGGTTCCTTCTATCTCCAGAATTAAGCTACCCAACAAGAAGATAAAATAGGGATATATGTTTCTAGCAATTAAATTTATAAAACTGTTCTGCACACCAATTTTAATAGTATTATTTAACTATCTATGATTTTTTTTTAAATAATAATGTACTATCAGGGCAGGTCAACATATTAGTGTTTGTTCCAGATATACTTACAGTAGAAATTTGATAAACTAATAAATACACATTGGACAGTATTTGAAAAAATAAGAGGAGTATTGAAATGCAATATTTGTCAAATTACTCATTTGATGAATGCCTATTTAAGCAATTTGCTACTAACTATTGGGTTAGGGTTGTCGAACTGGTGAAGGGTCCAAAGCACAAGTCTTGTGAGGAGTGGCTGAGAGAGCTGTGGGTGTTTAATCTGGAGAAAAGGAAGCTGAGGGGGGACCTTATTACTGCCTACAACTACTTGAAAGGAGGGTGTAGAGAGGTGGCAGTTCTCCCTAGTAACGAGTGACAAGATGAGAAGAAACGGCCTTCAGCTGTGCCAGGGATGGTTCAGGTTGGATATTAGGATAAATTTCTTCACCAGAAGGATTGTCAAACACCAGAACAGGCTGCCCAGGGAAGTGATTGAGTCCCCATTCCTGGAGGTATTTAAAAGATGTGTAGTTGTGGCACTGAGGAACATGCTTTAGTGGTGGACTTGGCAGTGCTGGCTTAATACTTGGACTTGATGATTGTTAAGGTATTTTCCAGTGTAAACAACTTTATTGGTATAAACATATCGGTGTTAAGAAAACTGGGGGAAACAGGCATGTGGAATAATATAGATGTCCTGGTTACAACTGCATAAACAAATGTTCTACTGTGTTCCAAGTATTCCTCGCTCTTAAGCTCCAGCATACACTGACCCAAGGCTTTGTACTCTGACTGGTAGATGGTGTACTTCCCCACTACCATGCTTTTATCCCACAAGGGTGCATTTATTTCCCCAATTTGGCATTCCTTTAGCCATTTAGTTCACTGTCTTTGCCAATAGGTTTGTTTTCCATAGGATTAAATTTCCAGCCCTTTGATTTATTACCTGTGGTGGAATATTGTAGCATAGCCTCCACCCTATGTGTTTTGCAGCTTTCATAATAAATAAATAAAATAGGGGGAAATATGACACAAAAGTATATAAAATAAGCTGTGTGTTTGGCCACAGAGATGATTTGCAGTATGTTTGTTATGTACAGTGAGAATACTCTGAGAAAGACATGAACACTTCCCTAGAACTTCTCTGAAATATGGTAAACCATGCCATTGTTACATTTAAAATTGACCCAAGAGATGATTTTTCATACAGGTTTCTGAACTCAATGGACAGGATGTAGCTGAAGAAAATTTTCTGCAGTAATTTTTTTTGAGCTATGACAGAATTGTTGACAAATTGACACATTGTTGTGTGTATTTATTTTGGTGTGCCAGTACGTCTCTTACTGAGATCAGTGACAAGCTTCCATCCGCTTAAATTCTGCCAAATTACCTGCAAAATGGCCCAATTTAAGTCATGTAAAGCTTTTCCTAAGACGACAGTGATAAAAGTCATATATTTGGTAGAATACTTGAAAGCATGTACACAATAATATGTACTGTGCATTTCAAAATGTATTTTTTTTCAGGAAAAACTCCCACCAAATATTTCAGATTTAGTAGTTTTAAAAATATTTCCTTTATATTAAAATAACCAATGGCAACAGCTCTAGTATATTCTTCTATACTACTACTACTTTGAGTCAGTGTCAAAGTTTCACTATTGTTAATAAGAATGGGGAAGATACAAAGGGTCTTTTTATGCTACCATGTTTATGTGGACTTAGCCAAACTGAATTTTTCACAGTGAGGTATATCCTGCAGAATAAATCAGATCTTGGCTTTTTAATTTAAAAGTGTCCCTCTTGATTGAAGATATTCTCTAGTGATGTATATATTTTGATACATGTGTAGATTTCTTTTTGGGAAAATTAATCTGAGACTTTGCTATCAATAAAAATTACCTTCATTTTCTTTTTCCCTTTTCAATTAAAGGAGAATAAGTTGGTTTCTTGACTCATCTTCATATTATTTCAATTTTTCTTGTAGAGTGGGAGTCTGCTATGTAGGATTTTGCATTGGAGTCTCTACTCCTGTGTTTATCCAGAAGCCCCTGTGAGCCATTTGCATTGAAAGGGTGGGATTTTCAATATTTTTGCCTTATGACTTCAAGGTGAGGGTGATTGCATTTAAGGATTATAACAAGAAATTTTTTCCTGTCCTTCTCTTGTTAGAATATGCAGCATATTTCTCTTTTCCTTGATCACAGTTTCTCTACTGCTGTTTGCATTTTTCAGTAAACCCTCTTTCTACAATAACTGTTGTGACATTCATTAGAAACAGGGAAATGCTTGAAATTTTATAGAACATAAAATTGTTATAATCTAATTTCAAATGAACCAGTAAATGGTGAAAAAACTAACTGTTACAAAAGGTAACATGTATTTCCTGTAATCCAAAGAGCAGTATTTTGCTGGAACCTATTTTCTATTAGCTTTACAAAACAGGAAGAGCTACTCTTCTAAGAGGGATAACTAAACAGCAACCTTAAAATCAGACTATATTTTATTGTTGTACAGAACTTGCATTTGGTCACCAACTCATCTGTTCAGCTTTTGCTTCAGATTCTTTGCACCTTCTCTCTTTTTATAACTGCAGTTTTATGGTGTATGTTTTACAAGGTATGTAACCATATTTTTTACTTACGATAAAATTGAAAGCAATCTTCAGAATGTGTTTACAGCTTGCCCGATTATCTTAAAAGCATATGCTTTTTAAAAAAATTGCTTCCTCTCTACAAACAAACTACTGGAAACCTTAGCCTGAAAATGAAAGTTGTTCCAACAGTGGGAGTTTATTTTTAAACTGCAATAGATTTATTTTTAAATTTCATAGATCTTATATTCTTTCAAGGTCTGGTAATTTCTTGAGATTTACTAGAGCAGTTAACAGGTTTCGTTATGTACAGACATGGGCTGAGATTTATGACAGAGAACATTTCCCACGTATTGAAAGGGTAGCTGATGCCGGATTGCAAAGTTCAAGGCATTATCCCTTTTTCAGCACAGCCTAGGTTCTCATCTAAATTTATCACCTTTTGCTCCTAAGGATGTGTTATTGTGCCTGCGATATGTCTTTTCTGGTAAATGTGTTTCTGGTTCAGCTTCCTTGCTCCCGAGACTTTTCTATTTTGGTTCCCGCTGTCATGTGATCCCCTTGGCCAGTGAGAGCCCTGCAGAGGGAATGGCAACAGCCTGCTGGGAGCAATGTAAGTCAGAAAAAAACTCTTGGTTTTTACAGTTTCTGTCCCTTACACTCAATTTTAAATGCCACTTTTACCCTGAACCTTTGTTGGGCACACCTAGGAATACCTATGGAAATGCTTAGAAGTTAGGTGTTTTGATTTGGATTTATTTTTTTCCTCTTTCAAATGTTACTTTTCTTACTATGTTCCCTTTTTCCTGTGTTCTGCAGTGTTGTTAAGAAGCCTAAAAATGTGACAGAAAACAGACCAAAAGCATTGCAAGTGTTGACTAAAGTACGTTTTAAGGTGTATATTTCAGGTGTAGTAGTTCTTTATTTAACATGTGCTATAGACAGTGCCAAAAATTCTGTGCTGCCGCTGAGAAAGAATGATGTGACCCCCTCCTTCTCCCCCAGCTCCTTAGTCAAAATTGATCATTTAGGTAGAAGGAAAATAGTAAACAAGATTATCTGGACTCACAAGGTGGTGCTTTTACCAATTGTCTGAGACATTATGGGGAAGGGACTTCTTTCAGTTAAACGACAGTAATGTGCTCAAGGCAGTGTATCATTTTTCTGGTATGAATGAAGGGAAATACTGTATTTCGATCTCGGGTGGTGAGCAGTAGTTGGAGTATATGATGTTGAAGTAATGCATTTAGTGAGATTTATCATTTTATTGTAGGGGTGCTTCCTGGTACAAAGTAAGAGTCTTATCTTTCTATTTTTTAGCACAGGCTTTCAGTTGGTAAAATTTACCTGGTAATTACTACTGAGTAATGGTTTTGTCTAATTTAACTATATACTTTTTTAATTGGATAAAAATGATTTTTCAAAAATCATTCTCCCCCATAGTAAGAAATAAGTATGTTTCACTTAATTTCTATTTAATTGTGGATGTTTGACTTTTGTTTTTATTTTATTTGTTTTTATTTCTCTTTTTCATAAACTACTTGTGCTTTCTTTGGAGTCTCCTTTTATGTTTTGTAGTTATCTTTTAAGTAATTATAAGCTTATTATAAGTTTGTGTCCCTAAGTGATATGCCTTGATATCACATGAAAATTTGAGAATGGGTGTTTGAAAAAAAGGTGTAATGAAACAAGCTGAAATCTTCTGATTTCCTTTCATGGCCTATAGGCTGGACCCCATATCACATCACTTTAAGGTACTGAGGCCATTACTGCGCATTTCTTTATTTTCTTTTTGTTGGTGATCTATGTCCTAATGACCAGGTATTAACTGAAGGGCTGTTGAAAATCTTTCTTATTTCCCCTGCCCCACCTAAATTTTGAACAGAGAAATTTCACTTAAAGATTACGCTGAAGTACAAAGAGCATGTTAGGTGTTCGGCGCAGTTCCTCTCATCATCACTGGTGCTGAAAAAGAGAAGTGCCAAATTCTGTGTTTGTTGAATTGCTGCAGTGTCAGAAGCACAACAGAATCTATCTGTAAATATCTGACTCAGAAACAGAAAACAATTAGAAAAAAACATCCTCCTTGTGCAAAATGGATGAAACTTAGGAACCAATCTTTCAGAACTTTGGTTTAAAGGCTTGCGTGATTGGTTTTGATGATAAACTGAAGCAAGAGCAGGACTGAAGGTTGTTTATACTGATTAAAAAAAAAAAAAGTTTTTTCATTAGGTTATAATCCATTTACTAACCTAGTGTGACCTATTTGCTATTGCTTCATGAGTTTGCACATAATGGGAATTTTGAGACTGCACCTCAGAGCTGGATTCCCTGCTGCTTCCCACAACTTAATGCTTGGGTTTGTGAGCACAAGTCTCCAGCTTAATAATTGTGCCAATTTCTGTAGTAACCAGAGAACTGCACTTGGTAAAATACAATGAGTAAAATTAAAGGATCTGTTTTATTACTTCTGTCACTTCTTTTCTTGGTTGTATGGTTTTGTTTTGTTTTGTCTACTAGTTTATTTGCTTCATTCGTGCTCATCTGTCATCTTTGATTTTGAAAAAGAACATAATAAAAAATAAAGAAGAGGGATTATGGTCAGTAAAAAGCTTTACTGTGAGGACAGTCAACCAGTGGCACAGGTTTCCCAGAGAGGTTGTGGAGTGTCCCTTCTTGGAGATTTTCAGAACTCAATCAGCTATGACCCTGAGTAACCTGCTATCGGTGACCCTGCTTGAGCAGGGGGTTGTACTAGATTACAGGGGCCCTGAGGTCTTTCCCAGCCACAGCACTCCTGTAAGTCTCTAAGAATTCCCTCACTGCTACTTTGGGAGGGAGATCAGAAGTCATGTATAGCCTTTAATCTTAGACTTTCACTCTTGTATTTTAGACCTTGTCATTTTGCTGCCTCAGTTCAGTCATTAATCATTTGTTTGGAGCGATGGCCATGCTTGTCTTGCTGGCATTGCCTGGCACGTGCCACCAGAAGTGTCACTGCTGAGCAAGCAATAGCAGATCATGTGCAGGACTTCTTTCACCTCTTTGTCTCAGCCACCACAATGTAGCATGGTGGTGGAGGGAGACACTGGGGGAAAGAGAATGAGAAAATTAAGAGTATAATTAAAGGAGTACTAGGGGAGAAGTGTAAGTAGAAAGTGATGAGACAGAGCCAATGTGGACTGAGTTTCTGCACACATCTTGCTGCCCTATTTGAATTTCAATGTAGAATCTCCAGAAGCTGAGGAGGGGGTGCAGGAGCTTGCACAGGCCATGCCAGGTTTTATGGAAGGAAGGGAGGAAGAAGTAAACCTCCTGGGAGCAAACCTCAGAGGCTACGGAAAAACATTAAACCCCAGTCCCATAGACAGTATGTGGAGTTGTACTCTTGAGGCCCTATGAGTGGCAAGGAAACATGAGATCATTTGGTAGGAAATGAAAGTGCAAACGTAGTGAAAAGAAAAAACAAAATTTTAAAATTTATCTATCTCTCTCAACATAAAATGCACAGCAAAAGTGTGGAGTTTTCACTTAATATCTTTCACACTACCATATACATATAACTTTAAATAAAAATGGCAAAAACTAATAACTTGTGTTTCAGAAAGATAATTTTAAATCTTTTTCTTCCATAATGGCATAAGTGATGGTTTTGCTTAAATTTTGTTTATCTTGATGAGACTTGAACACTTGTCCTGAAAGTTATTGCCAACATAAAACCAAACAGGTGTGACTCTGAATAAATTCAGACTGGAGCTGGAAATGTAGATGGGTTTAACCTTCCAGCAGAGGGGTAGGCTAGGACATGTCCCTGTTTACAACAGTCTCAGGGAGTTGGCTACAGGAGTTGAAGGTTTGGTATCAAGAATTACACTCAGTGACTCAGATTGCTATTTCCATTTCTGGCTAAATACTGTAATTGGAATTTAGACACAGTATTTTTTCCTGAAAAAGACACATTTTAAAAATATGACAATTTATTTTCTCAACATATTATTCTATTTTTCCTCCTTTGGAAAGCAGCACTGTAGATGAATGCGAAATAAATTTGTGCGCGCTTTCTTACAGATGGATATGAGCAAGAATGAAATAATCCTCTTTATTAATTTTAGGGAAAAATCCCCACATTCCAAGGAGTCAGTAGCTGTAGCAACTCAGTCTGGCAGCATTCACCCGATTCTTTGTAACTAGTGTAAGCAAGAAAATAAAACAGGAGAAAAAGATTTTTAAATAATTACCTGGTATTAAATATTTTACTACAACTGCAAGGTATACTTTTTTTTTGCTAACATATGTGTATTTTCAGATTTATTTGGTCTGTAAAAAGCCCTTTTCTGTATCGGCTACTAAAAGGAATTTTATTTATAATTTCACAGACCTATAATTTGGACTATCTCTGCTATTAGTTTTTTAATAATTTCTGTGGTTACCATTACTTACTGCAGACAAAAGAACAGAATATTGTCCATCCACCACTGAAGTACTATCTAAAATTTAAATGATAAAACTTAGATATTTTTTAAAGTGGAAGTAATATTTGATCGTGAAAATATTTTTGTGGCATTTTTCTATATTTTTATTACTATATTTTAGTGCAAAGTCCTATAGGAACTAAAAATATAATTTGTGTTTGATTGTTTTAAAAAATGGAGTAGTTAAAGCAGAGCAATCTGTAATTGAAACAAGGCTGGAATTATGTAGATGCATTTCAAATATTTTGTTTTTTAAAGAGTAATTACAATTCTATATAGAACTACTAGTTTTGTATCTAAATAGCTTTCATTAACAGTTTTTATGGCTTCCAGTAGCACAGCAGTTATGGGTTAGATTTGCCAAATTAGCTTGGGGATTATTGTAACTGTCTATTCAGTCCTTATATCATCTATGGCAACTAAACGTAAACACCATAAAGCCAAAATTGGTCAGATCTGAATTTTTTCAAAGCACTTGGTTCAAAAATCAAACAAACAGAAAACTAAAATCTTCTTTAGATTTTGTTTGTTCTCTGAGGCTTGGTGGGTAACTAAAGTGTAACTACCTTTAACTTTGCCTTCTATATTCTTCAAGTGGAGGTAAACTAGTTCTATTTTCACAAATGCAGTAACTGAGATTTTGTTTTGCAGTTATATGGTGGGAGGCATTTCATAGCTGGCTCTCATTTTATTGGCATCACCAATTTTGAGGTGATGGACTGGAATGGTATTTGTGGGCTCACGTTGCTATATTCTTATAAATTGCCAACCTGCTTATTCGTGTGCTTAATTTCGTGTGCTCATTAGAAAACCAATGGCACAAGAAGTGACACCATTTCTGTCCCAGCCAGTCTGATTGTTCTGTCAACCTGAACTTTCTGTAATTTAAACTGGGCACATTTCTCATGGGTTTGTTTCTTGTCCTAATTTGTCATATGTGTTGCGATATCCAGTTGAGCAGGTGCTTTGCAACAAACACGACTGCCTTTGATGATGTTTCTGTGTGTAGGTTGGTGTACCAGTGCCATGACCCATTGGTAGGGGTGCAATGTTTGTTGTAAATTCTCACCAGGCTGAACAATGATCAGCTAGGGGAGTGGGTTGGCTCAATTGGTTAGAGCTAATAATGCCAAGGTTGTGG